TAGTGAGGATCGTTGTTTTAGGGATACTTGTTTCTGAAATTTTCAACTAAATAAATAATTTAATACTTTCCAAGGTACCTTAACCAATGGCGTATCTAGGTATGAGGTAGGCCCGGTAGGCCTGAGCTAACATTGGTATTTTTGAATCCTAAGTACGTAATATATAACAAAGTAACTTTTTTCCCTCTTTTCATCGCACACAATTTTGTCTACAATAAGGATCAAAACGGATTTCTATGACGTCTACATATTTTAGCGTCGATGTCAATTTAAAAGTTCAGTTCGGAATTATTGATGACTTCGCTAAATTTAATAATATAATAAATCAATTTATATTATACTCATGTATTACAGACTACCAAGTAAATTTACCAGTTTTAATTTGTATAATTATCGTTAATTATTTTTAATTATACAAAAGTTTATAAATATAAAAACAAAAATGAAAATATCTGTTAGATGCGGGTTGGCTCCAAAATTACTCATCCAATCGTCATGAATTTATTTTTTTTTAAGATAATAGAATAAATCACGGGAAGGTTTTGAGCCATTTAAAATATTAGTTTAACCAGTAGAAGTATCAGAACTAACCTGCGGTAGTTTGGGATGGATTAAAAAAAAGACGTACATATTTCTCACGTGGGCGCAGCCATTGTTGTAGGTGGGAAGTTGAGAAAGTAGGATACAGATGGGAATTTAATGTATCTGTAAACTATAAGCAACAATAAACCATTGCTAACGAAAAACGATTCTGAACGAAGTTCAGATGATAGTGTTTCTTTGGCAACAATACATATGTCATATGGTAAAATGATTACAATATGCGTTTCTAGGATATTGTTATGATTGTTTAAAAACAATTAAAATAATAAAAACTTAATAATAACAGAAAAAAAATAAAAACGGTTGCTAATGATAACCTTATTTTTAATCTTTAAATCTTTTTTAACCTAAAGAACCAGATTTCCCTTATTATATCGAATGTTAATGAGAATTTCAAAAAATGACGCCTCTAAAGAACGTTAAATGTTCTCTGAAGGGAAATTTGAAAAATTTTTAACATTTTTATTTTTTAGTGATAGTACCCAAATATAATAAACATAATTGGTTTTACTACATTCATTAAATTTGTCAAAGTTAAGTTGGTGATTCTCAAAAAAAAGGAATTTTGTTGTTGCTTTGAGACCTTCTGAAAGGAAATTTCCCTTTCAAAAAAGGTGCTATACTTGATAATCAAAATAAGCTTTCTGGTAGAAAGTGTTCAATTAGAAAAAAAAATAAATAAACACCATTGTAAACCAATACATTCTTCGCTCCTCTCAGAATCTAAATTTATTTATCAGATATTCTTCATTTCTAAGTGACCATTTTATAACTAATTTATTTGTGTTTGAGATAAAAAAATGAGGAAAATACATTTTTAAAATATAACAACATACCTATCAGAACTTGATTAAAATAAAACATAGAGAAAACTATACCAAAAACCAAGAATTCAACGAAATACAAATAAACAATTTTAGAAACAATATTATATTCCGTTCAGATTATTTGAAAAACATTTCACTCAAAGCCTTTTTCTTTAATCTTGACTGCATGCAACAATAATAATTACTTATAACTAAAAAAATGTTGATTATAAATTTTAAATACCTAAATGTAATATGAACAATTTCAAAAAAAATAATAATAACTGTGCTAATAATTATAATAATAACATTGATAATATACGTGTATGTAGAGTTTAGTTTTTTTTTATTATCATAAAAAAATTATTTTATTCAAATTTTTTTTTATTGCAATACTTAATAATTATTATGCGTGGCTAATAATTTTAATAACTGGAATAAATAATATTACTATATAATAGTATGTAGAACATTGGTAATCGCCGGACGCAATCGAAACTCGAAAATAGTAAAAAAAAAAAAATCCCGATTAGGACGCAATCGAAATTTTGGCGGACGCAATTATAAACGTAATCGACCGTCTACACGCTGAAATAAGATGACATCGTATTATACTTATACCCGGGCCTGTTCTAAATTTTGATCATGGGCACGTCTCTGAATTCGCAACGATCGTAATGTCTTCGTGGAACGTTTTGTATAGTACAGTGAAACCTACCTTAACGGACCTTAACGGACACCTCTAAATACAGAACATTCTAAATAACGGAAGCTTTTTAACATCGATATTGATCGTTTTTATCGTAAATTAAGAATAATTGTAGAATACCTTAATAAAAGTCTACACTATTAAGTTATCATTTTGTTACTATGTATGTACATTATTGTACTGTATACATGACGTATATCTTATATTATCCGTTCAGTCGTTAACATATTATCGCGTCAATGAAACGTTATAAAATCAAAAAATACAATTTATCTCTTTAAATAACGGACATCTTTGAATAGCGGACAAAATTTCAACGACCGAGAGTGTCTCCGGCGTTTAGAGGTTTCACTGTACATATTTTTGTGTTAATAAAAAAATAAAAAAAAACAAATGATTATGCGTAAAATTGCATGTTTCCGGTATACGAGGTGCGTTCGATTTTCGTTCCTTTTCTGTTTTTAACATCAAAAAATAACTTAACTCATCGGTGACCCGGACGGCGGTGCGAACGCGCCAAAGTTTGGTCGCGGCCTCCGCGAAGGACGCGGTCGGTCGGGTCACGGTCGTTTTCCTCGTCACACAGAACCGAACGTACCGCGAGATTTGCGCGTCTGTACATATCGGTATGTATATATATTTTTTTTATTATAAATATGTAATACATTAACACGTAGTAATAGTGGTAAACGAAATTACATAATTATTATTACATTATTCAATACTGATAAAATAATAACTAATTAGTACGCATTGCAAAAAAAAAAAAAAAACAACAAACGGACATACTTCGAACGCTGTATGGGCCACTGTTGTAGGTGAGAAGTTGAAAAGGTAGAGAAGAAATTGAATGTATGTCTGTACGCAATTATTAATCATTGATAACGAAAAACGATTCTGATCAGAGTTCGGTTATACATGTTTTGAAAGATCGTAATATTTACGATTTGAAAATAATAAACATCGTACATTTTCTGGTTTTTTAACAGGAAAACTCTTGGAAAAAATCAGAAAATTACATTCCTAAAGTACCATCTCAGTCAGATTTTCTTTCGGAAAAAGTGCTACGCTTGAAAATCTGAGCAAAATTTCTGGTAGAAAAATTGCTTACAGATAATTGTAAAATCGTTTAGAAATCAATTGCAGGATTGTAACTGTTTTAAATTCGCAAGGCAAATGCCACCCATACCCCCCCCCCAAAAAAAAAAAGTATGCAACTGATATATTATACCTAAGGATGTATTTCGTGAATAATTTTATTGTTATTTTTAAATTCAAGTGAAGCGAGGAATGTATTGGGTTTACAATGATTTTTACTTTTTATTTCTGTGAATAAATTTTCTACCAGAAATTTTGCTCCGACTTCTTTTCAAAATAATTTTTTGTTAGCAATGATTAAATCATTGCCTGCAGATATAAATTAAATTCTCCTCTATATCCTACCTTTTCAAATTTTCCCATTTAAAAATGGCCCACCCGTTGTGTGAAATATGTCCGTCATTTTGATAATATTTTAAAACGTTGCGAAACGAAAGTATATAATAATAGACGTGTCTTGGCGAATAACCAAGTATAACCCGGTTACTGTATTTGATAGTAGTTTTGGCAATTTTGGTTATAACTTTTGGTCATTAGTTACTGAAATACAGAGGCGTGCTAGGGAATTTTAAAAGGAGAAGGGGGGTTGGTTGACATTTTTTTTCAATCAAAATATTTGATAAATTTAGCTTATAAATTATAATACTATATAATATAAATCAAATCAAAGTACAAAATCCAGTTTATGAGGATTTTTAGCCAGGTCATTGAGTACCTCTTCAGTTATTAGTGATACATCTCTGTGAAAAGCTAACATTGTTAATCCGTTAAGTCGAGTTTAAAAAACATTTAAACACAAATAACTATAAATTTAAACATCAAAATATAAGTAAGAAGAATTACTTTAGTCATTGTGCTTCTTAAGTATATTCTCATCCACAAATGTTTAATAAATCGTATTATCTTACCGGGTTTACCTAATAATTGTCATTTTGACTGGTTTCCAATTCGTCAAATTTTTCATTTTTTGTTTTAATGAATCAGTTTTAGTTGCACTAGTACCCACGATGACAGTCATCGTAAAAAAATGTATAATTTTATTTCGAAAAATTCTGATATGTCTAATAATATCATAAACTTGAAACTAGGTATTCAGATTTGTGATTGACAGAATCTGATTTCACTAATTACCTTTAATTTAAATTTTGAAGCGCTTATCACTTGATATAAGATATCGTGCCTTTAAAACTACATTGCGATGACGCGGTAGCCATTAGCCGGTGTAAAGTACTGGTTAGGTCTGGTATCATTCAAGGTTACATGTGATTATAATCACGACACCAATATCAAATAATATAGGCTGATAAGGAATAAGGAGATAATTGGAACCTAATCATATATTTATAAAAAAAAAATATCAAATTGTCTGATCTAAAATTGCATAATGAAATATTCACAAAATAACGAAATATGCTTTTTTGTTGAAAATTAACAAACTATGTAAAAAAAACTTTAATATTTATACTTTTGGGTTTATGACATATTATAACTTATAGCCCGATAGAGGCTCAGAAAAAAACATGCAAATCCTATAATTTCTCTGTTCTAGTTATAATAATAATAAAAATGAACACATTTAATAATTGGAACAAAAGTTAGTACAATAAGTACCAAATATCATGTATAATATGGAGACTGTGTAAACCGTTTGTCACAGTGGCGTAACCATGAAGGGGCAATGGGCAATACCTCCTCCCCATTAGTCGTATAAATTTATTTTTATAGTTTATTATATGTATTTGAATTTCATTCGAGTTAGTGCTCTTAATTTCTTATCAATTTGTTTGATATGTTGATATCAGTTTTTATGAAAACGTGGTTCATCAAACAAATTTATCAGTGGTTTATGGTTATAATGATCTTTGAACTTGGTATAGGTTGTAGGTATCAGTAGCTGCTTATTCTTTGATAACGTCATGGACCTTATACTAGTGTAGACGGAGCATGTCATAGGGTCGACGGGGTTGGGTAATGCGGTCATGGCGAGAAGTGTTTACAACGATGCCATTGGATGATTATATTCAAGTCTAAACAATTGTTAATAATATAAATTATTATTGTTAATTTTTGAGTATTTTTTTTTTTTAATTTTTCGGTTTTGCCCCCAGCTATCGTAAATTATTGAAATTGTGAACAATTTAAAACACTTAAATGCATATCTTTAAAATTAATGGCATTGTATTACAGTTAAAAGTAAGTATAGTATTAAGACTAAATAAATGTAGCTAAGGCCAAGGAATTAAATGTTTTAAAATTGAAATGCATACATTTATCGGTTAATATAATTTTTAATAACCGTAAATACGTCGTTTTTGAGAATCATTTACATTTGTCTGATAACGAGGTTAATCGCCAAAACACAGTTAATATTTATTATTATACAAGTTATATACTATTAATAATTCTAAACCTAGCATTACGCTCCACAGCCGTTAAAATGTTAAAAAAAAAAAAAAAAAAATGAAAAATCGTCGTAAAATGTAAAATAAAGGTTTGAATCTTTGAAGTATCTGTTACGTAATTCGGTATTTGGGAAGCATTGTCTGAGATGACACGAGAAAAAATAATAGTGATTTCTGGAGTAATTGTCTTCAATCTGTAATTATTAAAAATGTTCTTTTGACAATATCAACTATAATTAGAACATCTTTAATCCGAATTTAACTGATAAAAAAAATCGTAAGCATAGTAATGCAGTAGTTTTTTTTTTTCGTTGTTGTTAGCATTTTAAGATTAAATTCAAACGATAACCATACAAATTATGGCATTTAAAATTATTTGTTTAATCAGACTTCTATCAGAATCGTGTTTCGTCCACAATGATTAATCGTTACGTACAGATATAAATAAAACAAATTTATGTGTCTTACCTTTCCGATTGCAATAGCGACACTGCACCCATCAATAGTATTGGTTTTTTTTTTTTTTTTTCATCAATTGTTTTGTATATTAGGTCGCTCTTTATACAAGGTGACCCAGTAAGATATACCGATTGCAATATCTCCTGAGATAATAAAATTCTGATTATTTATTTTATGTTGCTCACAGGGATAACGACTACTATTATATTTTAATTGAATTGTTACGTTCTGCTAAAAAAAAATTATGAAAATAAGTTTTTATTTTATTATTTTCGAAAAATTTGAAGATGCAACCATTTAATAGTTTATTTTACTGATAATTTTAACATTTCACCTTTTTATTTTTATTGAATTCGTGATTTTTTATAATATTTTAAAGTCCAGAGAAAAAAAGTGTACAGTCATCATTATCCATAATGACAATAACAACTGTGTAATAATAAGTTATTATTCCGATTACCTATGATTATGCAGCAGACTGTAACCGCGATTGCTAATTGACTATTATTATTATCATTATGTGTAAATGACTGTACACAATATCAATCTCTGGAGACATTATAACGGGTTTAATATCTTCGTGGAACACCCTGTATAGGAAAATATCGGAATATTTTTAACGACAGTAATATATTACGATTTTTAATAAATAGCCTTTAAATTCTATTTTTTTTTTTTTTTCAGTGGTAGTACACCATTTATTGACGTCTGTTCAGTAGCCTGTCTACCTAGTAATCATACTGCGATGTTTGAATTTTCTTCGACCGCTATCGGAAATCAATCATTTTCGGTTCTTCCGCGTATTGAAAACGAAAATGGAAACCAACGAAGGATCAAAGACGCCCGGGGCATAACGCGGAAAATATAAATAAAACAAAAATACTCTCGTACACGTATTAAACATAATTTTTTGTATAATATATTTCGATTTTGTACAATATATTATGTAAATTAATTTTAAGTACAAAAACAAACAAAAAAAAAATACATAGGGGACAAATGAGGTTGGGGGGGG